ATCAATAACTTTTAAACCCGTAATTTTTCAATCGTTCAACAGGAAGGTCTATTGGACATAGACGTAGAATTCTCAGACGGTTCTCGTACACCTTTGAGAGAGATCGCTGTAAGCGATTATCATTTGCTCGTTGAAAGTCTAGATCCGGAAGTGGTTGCTTTTGCGCCTATGGTGGCCTCCCATCATCCCCGAGTAATCGCCGTCGGCGAAGGAAGGGGCGATCTTTTGAGGGTCAGCCTTCAATTGGCAGATGCCTGTCGTCTTTCCGGTAGAAGATCAGGCAAAGCTTCTCAAAGAGCAGCGGTCGCTTCCCTGGCTAGTGCGTCGGCCAACGTCGAAGTAGATTTCTCCTCGAGCGACCTCGCTAATCGACCGGAATTCGTACAAAACGACGGCGGAGGCACCGTTGGTTCGCATCATCATCGAGAAAGGAAAACAAATCGTGGCGAGATGGCGCCGGATCTCCATGACATTCTTATCGGTAAATAGGTTCTGTACCCCTTTGGCAACAGACTTCTTTTCGATCTTTCATATTCAGCGCTTTTCTTTTATTTCGTCTTATGATTTCTCTCCGCTTTGCATTCTTCCTTTCATGTTTTCTATTTGAAAGACATGACTGGATAGCATTAGGTTCAGCACTTTTCCTTCTTTCGTTTCTATACTACTTTACTCCTCCTCTTTTTCTTCCTCTTCTTCTTCTTTTCTTTTTTTCTTTTTTTCCTTTATCCCTTTTCTCCTTCCTTCGTTCGTCTTTCGCTTCAAAGAAAACAAAAAAGAAAAAAGAAAGAAAAGAAAAGAAAAAGGCAAGAGACTTCGCGTTGTTTTGCTTGGGCTCGTAGTTCCAGCGTTCAATGAAACGAGAGGATAATTCGAATAAGTGCATGCATTAAGAAAACTCATCGGTGAACGATCGTACAGGCATGGCCGACCGCAAGGTGTCCGGTATCAAGCGGTAGAGCGCGATTAGTGGCGGCTTCTTTTCTCACTCTTGCCCTCTCTCTTTCTGTCTCTTTGTTTTCTGTGCAAAGGGTTACCGCTGAAAGACGAGAACGAGCACGAGCACGAGCCTTTGGTGCAGGCGCGGCAGCACCTCACGGCTATAGCTAATGGCATGTCTTCAGGAGGAATGGGCGGTGTCGGGATACGGCATCACGGCGGATCCCGCATGAGTCCACTCGAGATCGGCATGTACGTCCTGCTGGCGGCCTTTTGCTTCGCGATCGTTGTCTTCGTCGTCTCCTGCGTTGTCTACGCGAGCAAGTTCAAGCCCCAATCCCCGGATTCTCCGCTGACCGGAAGTGCTGTCCCTGTTCTCTCCGGTGCTGCTAGGGCCAGGGCAGCAGCCAATCAACTCGCCTCGGGTAGAAGACCTCCTAGGGAATCGACGACCAACGCGCACGATTGGGTTTGGTTGGGACGGGCCACCCTCGAACGTGCCGCTTGTGGTCCTCAAATGGTATTTCTATGGACATTAATTACTTTAATTTTCTTTGAATTTTTAATTTATTTACTTAACGATGTATATTGATTCATTCACTTATACGATTACTTTAGGTGCACGTGACCAACAATCCTTTGGCCGGTGACGTCGAGGTAGAAACACCGGAATTAGGTACTTGCTTCGACAATCCAAATCATATCGAACTTCCATCGGCTGTTCAACGAACGAACAATACAGGTCCCATCGATAGCACGACCTATTGCAAGAGGGATAAATTGCCACGAAATAGTTTTGCGGTTAAATCCGCTCCGATTAAGCCCTTACCGGCGAACAATGTGACTGCACCGACCGTGTCCACGGCAGGCTCAGTGCTAGTGACTACGCGTAACGAGTAAATTATTTTCTTAATTCTTCGTGATAAATCTGACAGTTATCGACTCTGATCTCGTTCTAATAACGAGTTTAATTCTTTATTAGTAACGAGGACGTACCACCGCCTTTGCCACCCCATGGAGTTTCAGCGAATTCGAGCGTGGCAGCAGCGGCCACGACGGTTGCCGTTACAGCCGCTCCCATAAATGGCAGCAACAACAACAACAACAACAACAACAACGGAAACGAGGATTACAAGCCGCCTGTACCACCGCACAGAAACACCGGAATGATCGTTAGGCTGCCAGAAACACCTAGAAAGCATCGTCATCGTGCGTCCAGCAGTGGTAGCGCGTCCGGACATCATGCGAATCATCGGCACAATGCGAACAAGCAACTCCAACAGAATAACGTTGTTAAGCCACTAACGACACAGCAACACGGTAAAGGCAGAGCGAACAGTCCAAAGGAGAATGGCGAGGAAGAGGAGGAGTTCGTCGAGTTGGTTAATCTCGACGACAAACAGCTACAACTACAACAACAACAACAATTACTACTACAACAGCAGCAACAACAACAACAACAGAATCCTTATTCGAAAGAGGCGAGGTCTAGAGAGGTGAAAAGGGCGACGATAGTCGGAAATCCTATGTTCTCCTCGTTTTCAACGTCAGCCGTCGCATCCTCTGTGAACGCTTCCACCACGACCATTGCCTCATCGTCGACCTCCCCACCCTCCACGTCACCGTCCTCCAATAGTTCCTCCTCCTCCTCCTCGACGGCGTCCTCATCGTCTTCCCAGGAGCAGGAGGAGTCCGTCGCACTCGAAGACCTTAATCTCGGTATGGATTATAATCAGATCATGCAATACTTCGACAATTTGAAGGAATCGAACGCCTAGGTAGAAGAGTCCGACCTCATCGAAGGTCGTCCGTAGTAGTCAACGTCTATACGAAGGTCCGGGGTCCTCGCGTCGTCCTACATTCTTCCGATCTCCGAGCGCTTCCTCCTCGTCAATTGGTCTCGTTAGATACGTAGATTGACGAGAAGGGGTTGACTCGTGTCTGGCACCGATTTATAAAAAAAGCTCGCCCGCGCGCTGATGGAGCTTTGCCATTGGAGATGACCCGTACGGATGTTTCGTATTCTAGACTAATAATCTAGTCAGCTTCCTAGCAGCACGTCAAGAGCATGCGTAAAGAGAAATACAGGTACACTAAGCGCGGATAACACTAACACGAAGACTGAACACGTTTACTACACTTACACATACTACATAATAGGTACACGTACTACGTATGGTATGTACACGCGAATAGAGGACACAACTAATACAGAGGCTTTATCCGACTGCCGGTGATGCGATAGGGTGATAGATCGATCCGAAAAAGAGAGAGGATATTATACGCCAATTATAATTATCCTTATAATGATATCGATGCTATTACGGATCTTGACGGATTGATCGATCGACTCATCCTCATATCACCGTTCTCGCCCCCGTATATCTTCTCGATCTCTCGCTCAAGCCTTTTCCCTTCAATTAGTCCATAACCCTCCATCCCCATCCCTGGCCCGTATTTTTGCGACTTCCCTTACCTTTGTCATTCGCGGGGCACCAAATTGCTGGTTCGCTACTCTTGCTTTCCCAGCAGTGCAGTCCAACGAGAAGACTTTGATCCGATGTTCCGATCTCGATTTTGATCTTCTCTCTCTCTCTCTCTCTCTCTCTCTCTCTCTCTCTCTCATCTATCTATTTTCTAATTAATTATATATCGCCTTATCACACCATCATCACCTTTCTTCATCTATTTTCGTGTTCAATATTTTCTATTCATTCGTTTCTTATTCATATTTATTAACATTATCTTACTGTTAAAATTTATCTTGACTTATTTCATCAGTTATAATTTTCCCACCTATCTTGATACCTAAGAATCGGCGAAAAATAGTCTTCCTGTTCGGATTGGGTCAGAGGTCGAGATGACCGTCGCGATCGAAACTATCGGAAATCTCTGGTTGCGTTCCGCGTCGAAAAAAAAAAAACAAGAAAATAAAAAAAAAAAAATCACACGTATATTTATTCGAGCCGATGGTGCGTCGTAATATTTGTAAATTTTGCTTTGTAAGACTGTGTACATATATATATTATATATATATATATCGCGATAGCGCAGATTATTAATTATGGACTTACAGATTTAACTTTACATTTATATATGGCCGTAGCAAGCGAAGAGCATACATACATATATGATATATTTATATATATATATATATATATATATATATATATATATATATATATTACGTTAGATCGTAAGGGTCTTAGCGCGAGCCCTTCGATCTCGATTCGTCCTTTCCATATCAGTTACTACTGCGTGCGTGCTAGGTAATAACGACGACGAGAGCTATCGCACGCGCGCGTGATTTTTCTCTCCTCTCTTATTACGTCCCTCCCCGCTCGTCTTGAAACTTCCCTTTCAATAATCTCGAACGAAGACACGCACAGTACGCATATCCCCTTCGGAAAGAAAAAGAACCCTCCTCCACCCAACCCTCAGTCCCTACAGCCACCCTGTTCTTCCTCTTCTTCGCGAATTCGTCGTTTCCCTTTGCGAGAACTCGATCGTGCGCCTTCTCTCTTTTGTTCCCGATCGTTGAAAAGGAAAAAGGATCGATACGATACTATTAAACGAAGAAGGAAAAAAAAAAGAAAAGGAAAAGAAATAGAAATAGAAGTAGAAAAAAAGAGAAAAGTGTAAGATGCGATCGATCTTGATCCGAGGAACGGAAACGGGAAAAGGGAAAAAGGAAAAAAGGAAAAAAGGAAAAAGAAAAGAAAAGAAAAGAAAAGAAAAAAAAAGAGAAAACGAAAAAAACTATCATTAATAGGCATCTAAGGACTACGTGTCTAAGTATGTATGTATCTGTAAGTTGTGTGTTAGCACGTCGCGTGGAATTATAGTGATAAAAATCGACGATAATGACAAACGACGTCCGATGAAACTGATCGCGCTTTAAAAAAAAAAAAAAAGAAAAAAAAAAGAAAAAAAAAAGAAAAAAAAATCACACCTATGTAATCTATCTATAACGCGTAAGTATCGTCGGTGATCTACGGTCGCGTTATCTACATATGTAATTGTAAGTGCGCGGATCAGATGACGATCATTAATAATATAGACATCTCTAATTGGTGCAACGGAGAAATAATTCCGTGCCGAAATCGAGAAAACGTACATTAACCCGTCGAGAATCTAGTCCTATAGCGTAACTATTATATATATATATATATATATATATATATATATATATATATATATATATATAAACAATTAATCGTCGTAACGCGCGATCTACGTTGCCTTTCGCCGTATGATGCGTTTCTTCGAGTCGCGAACGGCGGATCCATCGATCAGCGAAAGTTCCGAATGCATAAACATTGCTTTATTATATAAAGTGAGAAAGACTCGTTGTCAATGAATAAAATGAAAACGAATCAATCATATCGACTGCAGAGTGAGACGCGCGCTTTTTCTTCTTTATTTATTAAAATCCGCTCTCGCTCGGCCCATTTGTCGCACAGGAGAACAACATTGCCGGTCTTACCGATAAAAAATTATTAACACTAACAATGTGCGTCAATGAGATCAATAATATTTACGAATGATCTAGAAATGATAAAGATTGTATGAAAAAAAGTTGTCACGTGACGACGACCCATTGACGGGTCGGAACATACTCACGGGTCTACTACGCGCCTTCGGATCTTTATTATGCGATCGAAAATTTAGAGAAAAAGAGAATTGAAAAGAAAAGAGAGAGAGAGAGAGAGAGAGAGAGAGAGAGAGAGAAAAGAAGAAAAAGCACGGACGAAATGATAAACGTTCCGATATGATCTTTTGACGCGCTTTTAAAATAGAAACAAAAAGTTCCTTTCTTTCATACTCGTCGTACGTTCGGGAACATAGTATGCACGTTTTTCACGCGTTCTTTGATCGTTCTCCTTCGATCCTTCTCCTTCTCTTCCTTCTTCTTCTTCTTCTTCTTCTTCTTCTACGCTTCTTACCTGAGTTTTAACGAGGAATATCCGTGGCCAATTAAAATGGCAAATAACTTTTAACGGATGTATGTATGTATGTATTTATAAGGTCACCGAACGTAAAATCGCGCGTCATACCTCTCGGTGTAACTAAGTTCTTGCTGATTAGAGTTTATGATCATCGTAATGCTGTCTGCGTACACATAAACACACATTCCTTTGACATGGCGTCACCCTATCTACGTTAAATGTAATAAATACGGAATGAAGTATTTAAAAAAAAAAAAAAAAAAAAAAAAAAAGCGCGTTATCGCTTGCGATTACGACAATGACAATGGGAGCGACAAATGACGCAATGATGACAACGACGGTGACGGCCACGTCCGTGATGACGGACTATAATAACTAAGGATTTGTTAGGGATAACTTGTCGTTAAATCCAATTAAATTTCATTCAAGCGCAATCATAAATATTAAATATTTCACTATTGACACTGAGTCTACTGATATTTTTATTACTATTATTGTTGTTGTAATTATTATTATTATTATTATTATTCTCATCATCATCATCGTCATCGTCATCATCATCATCATAATCATCATCATCTTCATGCGATATAAGATCATTGCTATAGCGATCGTTTTTGACATACTCATTATCATCATCGCCATCAACATCGTTGCCGTTACCGTTCTTGTTACAAACGTTTTTGTTGCTATTGTTGTTATTGCTGTTGTCACCATAAGACATATTACCGTCGTCAGCTTCGTCGTCGTCGTCGGCGTTGTTGGCGTCGGCGCCGGCGTCGCCGATACGCTAATTAAACAATAAGGTACGACTATCGCCTACTCAATGTACAATATGTAGTATTTACCTGTTGTTACCACCAAACCATCATCAAAGATATATAAAAATATTGTAATTGTAACATAATTGCATTGCCATAATTTATTCGTTACTCATTATTCACATATTTTTCGAATCCCTTCCTTTCATTAAATTATTAAATCGCGTTTACTAAGGTAAGATATTTGACATATCGGATATTATTTATTAGTATTTATTCCGTATTAGATATAAATGATTTATTAATAAGTAATATTTAATTAAAGGGTACCCATTTAAATTTAATACTATTTAATTTATATATATTTATTGTACCATCTTTTGTCAAACGGCGATATCCAATTATGACAACCACCAATATTATTCTGAATAATATATTTCCACGTCCAAGGATTCAAATTAGTTTCCTCATTTCGTTTTTCTTTTTCCGCCATTTTATCTAATATTTCTTGACTAACAGCCATAGCTTTAAATGGACATTTGGCTGCTATATCTTCTAATACTTTCTTTACCTAATGAATGTAACAATATTAAGTATTACACTTGTGTTTTACTCTATTTCAAATATAAGATAATTAAATAAAATAATTACGCACTTGAAAATATTGTATATCCCCGCCAACTTCAATAATTACTCTTCCAGCTTTAATTGGAGTAACATAATGATCTATCGATCCTTTACCACTTCCCATACGTGAACCTTGGCTCTGTACAAAGCAATTTTATTAATTGATTGATACGTAATATAAAATAAATAACACGCAAGTTTCTTTTCTTTTTTTTCTTTTTTTTTTTATACAACCTTTTTAGTAACAGGTTGCCATGGTGCATCAACACGCCAGATAGCAAATATATTATCAAAATCAAATTTACGTAAAAGCGTCATACGTATCATTTCAAAATGACCATATTTTAATCTTCCACCTCCTGTAGCCTGTAAATTATATACAGTCATAAAGTTTTAAGTAATTTTATTACTCAACCTTTTTAAAAATATTTTCCGTGATTAAACGTATTAAATTCTTTTTATTATTATTATTATTATTATTATTTTAAATATATAAACTCACTATAATTCCATATTGCTTGTGCAATAAAGTATTGTGTACAGTTTCTGGTCCACGCATTAATTTTAATTTCTTTTGCATTTTAAAAGGACGTAAACTTGATGGATATTGCGGAACTTTTTCCATAATTTTAAGTTTATTTTTCTCAGGATATTCAACATCTTAAAAATATAAACATTGATATCTGTTATTACATTAATGCAAATAAATTTGTAAAGTTAATAACAATAAAACTTACTTAGAATTTTAACAGGTGGATCAAATATTTTTAATCCTTTTCTTTGGATAAATATCACAGCGGAATTATTTTCTATTAAAACGAAAGAAAAATATTATAATGTTTTACATTTAAAACATTTGACATAACCTTAAATCATATCGTTTATGCTTTTTGTTACTTACTAGAAAGAAATGATCGTACTGTATTTTTTAATGTTTGCATGATCATAAATTTTATAAACGACTGATTTTTAATTTATAATTAATATTATATAATATAATTCATATAAATTTAAATCTTAAATGCATCAAACAATTGGTACACTACAGTCATATAATCTCTCGTCTAAAAACCTTCGAATTACAATTCAGAAGTAATGTCGCACGTAGTAATAATTTCATTCATTATCGAATATTTATCATATCGGTGATCATATTAGAAATAATTTAATTTAAAAAAAGCATCGCAAATTTTCGAAACGATTAACAAAAAAAAGTGTTCATTGCCCCCCTCCCCCCCTTTGCTCCCATTAAATTATAATTAAATAATTATTAATCATAAATCTGGGAAGAAAATTATAAAACTAAGAAAAAAACCACTAGATTTACGAGAATGTTCATTGGTCTTTTAACGCGTAACACGTAATAGTGACAATTGGATTTTATTAACAAATATATTAAACATCTTTCCTTTTTTTTTTCTTTTTTCTCTCTCTCCTTTTTTCTTTTTTTTCTTTTTTCTTTTTTTTTTTCATTATAACGCTCATAATTAAAGAAGGAATCGTCGTTTATTCGATAATCTTATCGTGATCAATCTGAAAATATCCATGTGAAAATCAATTTACGAAATATTTACTTTATCTAGTGAATGTAACTAAAAATAGTATCTATACAGTGATTCAATTGACTCACGTAGCAGCATGACACGAGTTTTGTGGTTCCGGAGCTCAAGCGAGCAATGAAAAGAGTGACAAAACAGAAAGTGAACGAACCGTGTTCTATGAGAGCGTGTGTGATTGCACACAGTGTTATGTCTTGACTTGCTTTATAATCGAGTCTTGTAATTTTTACAAATTTCCGTCAGGAAAATAAATAAACAATAAAGGAGGACGGCCGTGTGATCTGTGTATTGTTGAAAATAGATAAAGCTTTGAGATGGCCGGTGCAATGTTGTTTGAGCGGGCACAAGCTGTATCGATGACAAATCGCAGCGAGGGTATTTCACTACTAAATGAGATCGTATCCGATCCTAATATCGGTTTAGCCGAAGATGACGAAGAAAGCATCAGGGTCAAGGAGCAGGGTATATTACATCTTGGTGAACTTTATAAGAAGGAGGGCAAGGCAAAAGAGTTAGCCGAACTTATCAAAGCAACTAGACCATTTCTTAGTCTCATAAGCAAAGCGAAAGCTGCTAAGCTAGTAAGATCCTTAGTAGATTTCTTCCTGGACTTGGAGGCCGGAATTGGTATCGAGGTAATCATTGATAATTATTTTATTAATGATAGATAATATTCAGAACATTGTTTTATGTAGTTTGTTTAGGTTACAAATGCACTTTAAATATAAGTTATATTCTATTAATTGTGTATTTTTATTGGCAATGATATGTTATCATTGCCAATAAATTTTATAAAATTATACGTATATATAAATATATATATATATATATATATGTATATATTGATTATATATACTGATAAGAAAATTTCTTTATTTAGGTACAATTGTGCAAAGAATGTATAGAGTGGGCAAAAGAAGAACGTAGGACATTTTTAAGGCAATCATTAGAAGCACGATTAATAGCTCTTTATTTCGATACTGGCATGTTCAGTGAAGCTTTGCAATTGGGTTCTGCTCTTCTAAAAGAACTTAAAAAGTTAGATGACAAACAATTGCTTGTTGAGGTTCAATTATTAGAGAGCAAAACATATCATGCATTAAGTAATTTAGCTAAAGCAAGGGCAGCTCTTACTAGCGCTAGAACCACTGCCAATGCAATTTATTGTCCACCAAAAATGCAGGCTGCTTTGGATCTACAATCTGGAATTTTACATGCTGCTGATGAACGTGATTTTAAAACTGCCTATTCGTACTTTTATGAAGCATTCGAAGGGTAAAATATTATAATTAATATTTATATTAATTATTAAATTTATTATATTATTATAAATTAATAATATAACAATTTGATGTATTCATTGTGTATTATATTGTAGGTATGATAGCGTTGAAAGTCCTAAAGCATTAACGGCATTGAAATATATGTTATTATCCAAGATCATGTTGCGTACACCTGAAGATGTTCAATCTATTATGTCTGGAAAATTAGCTGTCAAATATGCCGGACGTGATTTGGATGCTATGCGTGCTGTTGCTGAAGCCAGTCATCGACGTTCTTTAGCTGACTTTCAAACAGCAGTCAAACAATACCGACAAGAATTAGAGGATGATGTAATTGTGCGTGCTCATTTAGGTTCCCTTTATGATGCTATGTTAGAACAGAATTTGTGTCGTTTGGTTGAACCTTATTCTCGTGTACAGGTACAATATTGTATAAACGATATAAATCTATTAATTACAAACAATTAACTTTTCTAATCATAATAATTGTACTTTTTAGGTGAGTCATATTTCTTCATGCATATCTTTACCACTTGCACAAGTAGAAAAGAAGTTATCGCAGATGATATTGGATAAAAAATTGAAAGGGGTCCTTGATCAAGGAGAAGGCGTTTTAATTGTATTTGAAGATACACCTCGTGACAAAACATACGAAATTGCGTTAGAAACAATACACAGCATGGGAAAAGTAGTCGACACGCTTTACCAGAAAGCCAAGAAACTTACCTAGCCCTGTTTAACATATATTTATATAAGCAAAGTTTATTATAATTATTCTTATCATCATACTTAGTTTCTGGTCATAAAATACAAATTAATTGTTTCCTTTACATCTAACATAAAGCAGCTGAAGTTATTGCAATACAAATTATTCATTTGCCACTTCATTCTTGCGGATATATTGTAATTAATAATAGTTAAAAATATTTTGTAAGTAATAAATCTGAAATGATTAACTTACATGAGTCCTGATTTATTATCTTACACATTGGTATACTTTGTCATATGAGTACATACAATTTTCAATTGATTTATCATGTTGTTATTTAATTAGAAAATAAACTATTTAACGTGTGAAATGTAAATCATAAATAATAGATTATTTATTTCATCAGATCCCCTTTTGTAATAATAATATAACAATTGTCGTAAGGTTCAATTTTTTTTTCACTCCTTTTTTGCTTTTTTTTGTTTTTTTTTTCTTTTTTGTTTTTTTTTCAATACATCTACTTTTTAATATGCTTATTTCTATATATCATTATTTATATATATATTGAATTTCGAATTGTACATTAAAAATGAAATAATTTTTCGTACATTATTCCATTTTCTTTGACCTTAAATATAGAATATGCATCATTTCAGAAATAATAATAACATCCTTTTATATTTTTATCTCTCAGGTCATGAGAACAAAAATTCATTCAAAATTTACTATATATGTATGTATGTATATAAGAACGGCTAGATACTTTTTTGTAAAATTTTATATAATAGAATTTTGTTCTATAATAAGTATATATTTTCATTAAATATTTGTATGTTATATCGAATTGTAAATACAAATGAAAAATTTAATAACTTATCGACGATCAATTTTCAAATCATTAACGGCGAGTAACATTAAAGATTCTCATTTGATATCGGGAGTACGTATAGGTAATCTCACTTCCTGTTTGAAGTTGCACGTTTTAACAAAGAAGTAGTGTGATTGTACTTAATAAAGCTTTTTTTTTATAAAACGTATAATGGCGGATGCTACAGCAGAAAAGGTAAATTGTTTGTTCATTTAAAATATTTTATTATCGTCTCTAAAAAATATTAATAGATAAATTGTCGTTATCGTTAATTCGTCAGTACTATTAAATTGTTTAGGTTAAGTCATCTAATTCACCGGCTTTATAAGTCAGAGAACTTTTTCATTCATCATAATGTTTAATCGATAGAATTATTACCGATATATTTATTTAATTTAATCCTTGATCATTCGATGAAACGTTAATTCTTATCTCGAATGTATATGGTTTCAATGTATTTGTAGCTTCATATTCGCATATGTATTTACACAACACGTGAGAATGTATACGTGCGAAGACTCGCGCGCGCGTGCGCGTGCGAGCGATTTCGCATACATTTGTAGTAATGATCAAACCTTTATGCGATATAAGAAAATGAAAACTTCATTATCAAAGTTACAATAGCTAATTTATATATTTAAATAGTTGTATATTAATAAAATGATATAATTCTTTATTGTTCTTTAAGTTGATATTTTTTTTTCAGATTGAACCAAATTTTAGATCGAAAAATTTATACTGTTAATAAATATAATTGTAATACCTTTGTCAAGAAAATCATTTATAATAATCATAATATATATATATATATATATATATATATATATATATATATAATGTATATATATATAATGTATATACATTAAGATTGCTAGTTTGTAAAAATACGAGTAAATTTGATTTGACTTTTTTCTTTAATAATTGTAAGTTTTACTTAGACAACAAAGTATGTATTAAGTGTTAAGATTTGTGTGTTCCATATTCCTTTGTTATTATACATTTATTAGCTATTATATAGGAAGAAAAATAAAGCATTTTCTGATATGGCTTTTATATACGCGTGAAGTCTGATATTTATTGACAATTTTTAAACAAATGAAAATTTTATAACCTTTCTCTCTTAAATATATTAACAACATGTGAATTTACATTCTAGCTATAAATTTTATAAATTTAAGTTTATACCATATACAAGGATTTTTATGACAATAAGACATTAATAATTTAAATTTTATAATAAATGATTCCAACGCTATTTCAATCAATTTCTAAAAATGAATCGGTACTGTCAAAAGATTCGTTTTCAGAAAAGCAAGATCTTATTAACAATGAGTCAAAAAAGGTTTGCATTAATATCTGTAATAATGATCATATTAATATATAGTTTTATATTATAAATTATTTGTATATGAAATTAAATTTAAGGACAAACGATTTAATTGTAAAAATTAATTTCAAACATATTGTTTTGAATCTGTATCAATTGAATCATAAGCACGCATTTATCCTTTAAGTTTATCTTACAGGTTCAAGAATACAAGGATTCTCTTAAAACTAAGGTAAACCTCTTTTACCCATTGTGTGTAAGTAACTTGATTCGTCTTTTTTTTTCTCTTTTTCTGTTTCTTTTTCTTTTTTTTTTCTTTTTTTTTTTTTTTTTTTTTTTTTTGTTTTTATTGAAATACAGAAACATTAATTTTTTTTATTACTTTGATAATCATTTATTGATTACTATACAATATAAAACGAATCAAGTAATGCCATATGTATAGAATTGGTATAACATCTGTAATATCGTGCATACAATCTTTATGTGTCATTTAGGCAGAACAACTATTAATAACAGGATTCCCAGAGAAGATCGTAAAATTAAATGAATTATTGGAAACACCTGGTTTCCGTAATCGCAAATTGACAGATGTTCATCAAGACTTAAATGTGCCCATTCCAGACCCTATAGTTCTTAATCATTCCGAAGATGGACCTATTACGAAAAAAATTAAAATGGACAATAGTGTGGATGAAACTAGCGGAACCAAAGTTATGATACTTCCCAATGGACCAGTACCATGTAATAAACCTTTATGTGAATTAATTCATGTAGTAAAACCATATATCAGACAACTTCTGGAGGATTCTAATCTGGTACGACATAACAACTTTTATTTAATTAATACAAAACAATAATTAAGGTTTAAAATTAATTTTAATAATTATAATGTTGTTAAATTTTTAGTTAAAAATGTGGATTTCTTTTTTGATTCCAAAAATTGAAGATGGTAATAATTTTGGTGTATCAATTCAGGAAGATACGCTCGCAGAAATACAATCAGTAGAGAGTGAGGCAGCTGCATTCTTTGATCAAATCTCTAGGTTTGTTTTAATATATTCTATGTCCTTATAATTTATATAAGAACTGGGTATATCTATCTTTTATCTTTTTTTTCTTTCTTTTTCCCTTTTTTTTTCTTTTTTTTTTCTTTTCCTTTTTTTTCTTTTTCTTTTTCTTTTTTTTTTTTTTTTTTTTTTTTTTTTTCTTTATTTTTTCTATTCCTTCAGGTATTTTATCTCTCGAGGAAAAATCGTTAGTAAAGTTGCAAAATATCCACACATCATTGATTATAGAAGAGCCATTCAAGAATTAGATGAAAAAGAATATGTGAGTTTGTGGCTTGTAATGTGTGAAGTCCGCAATCGCTACTGTTCATTACATGATCTCGTTATCAAAAACTTGGAAAAGATCAAAAAACCACGCTCTTCCAATGCGCAATCTCTCTACTAAACATATGAGTATTTCCTGTATATGTGTACAGGATGGTCGAAGTGCAAAAATAATCGCATTAAAGGAGCGTGCCTAAAACTTTATGATAGGAGAGAATAAAGCTCAACCAACCATTGCCATCCGCTCTACCATATTAGATATTGACTCTAATGCCTTGACATTAGTCCATCATTCTTTCGACCAATTACAGTACTATGGATTAACCACATAGTTGCCTCACATATTACATGGAGAATATGGTTTTAGCTTATTTATATGCAGAAAGGTTGATGTAGCTGAGATTATTGTAAACAGTAATAAGAAAGAGCATTGAAACCTAATATTGTTCTATACTTTCTTAACATTCATGTTGGGGTTGTATGGTTCTATATTCAGACCATTGTTAGAGTGCTCCAATATACTTATCACCGATGTTTGCAGGATTTAGAAATTTCATTTGATATGTTTTTTTTTTTCTTTTTTTTTTTTTTGATTCATTATGTAAAGTTTATCGGTGAATTAAATGATATAATAAATTTGTACAATAGGACAGAAAAATTCAAACATTTTTATGAAAAAAATATCTTAAAGGTCATATTGTATTTAATTTAGAATTATCTCTAAACGTATGATCTGTGTAATTTTACATTAATAAAAATATTAAAAATATGAAACGAAGCGTGATGTAAAAAAAAAAAAAAAAAAAGAAAAACAAAACAAAAAGATAAAATGAACTTTCTTAATCATCGGTGATATTCATTTATAACTGTATAAAGTAGAATATGGAATAAATATGCGCAACTATATGATTAGTGTGTTATACACTATTATTAATTCAGTATTTACACTTATTATCATGAATGCAACTTTTACCTTTATTGCAAGTATTTTTTACATTAATTGAGGCGTAATGATGGATGATATGGCAAGATTAAAAAGATTTTCCCAATGTCTTAATAAATGATACATGAAATGTCATATATCATTGATCTACAATGAGTTAATTTAAACTTGTGAATGTATTAAAAGCGACACAACCAGATTATTTAAATAAAAATTTCTTCAGTAAATAATACAGTTTCCTTAGCCGTGGTATATAAAGTTTAATTACTGGTTCTTTTTTTTTCTTTTTTTTTTTTTTTTTATATTTTATTTTCTTTAGCATTTTCTTCTTCTCTGTATATGAAGAAATGATATGTTAAAAAAGGAAACATACAAACGTTATTTACATTTTACTGAGATTGTAAATAATATATTATCTTGTACACATAATTGAATATTTTGGAATGACAAAAAGACGATTTGTACGCTCTTTGAGGCGAAAAAAAACAAACAAACAAACAAAACAAAACAAAAAAAAAGAAAAATATGTATACATCATTGTTAACCATTTTGTGTCTTTTGGAAAGGACAGTCCAATTGATGTATCAAGAATTTAACGTAGTATTCATTATACTTTTTGTCACAATGCATCTTATATCATTCATGATTTGTTTTGCTTATTTTACTCATTAACTATTCTGGAATAAACAATTATTCGAATAATGAAGAACTTAAAACAAAAAAAAAAGAGAAAAAAATTATGTATTTTGTATTAATCCTTGATCAGTTACAAGCATTGTAGTAGTTATTAAATTTTTAAATTGTCGAGATAATATTAATAAAATAAAACTTGACATTTAATATTTGATATAATTTCATTTCAATAATATTATAAGTTAAATAATATAAGGCTCGTTTCTCTTGCCTCTCGACATTCTTTTTGCATTCATTTTAATTATTCCTCTGCACGTTGGTTTTTTTTTTCTTTTTTCTTTTTTTTTTTTTTCCCTTTCTAAATATTTACTCAATAAGTGTACCAGCGAATATATTAAGATTCTCTGCTTCTGTTTTTACCAAAAGAAATATTACTAAATCTTAATTTTTGATTGAATGTTTTACGACAATATTGAAATTTATTATGTCAGTTAATAAACATTTTATTGGAAATGACGTATCTTGATAAATCTTGATAATGTTAGGTTGTGATTTAATAATGATCTTTAAATGTTATTTAAATCGATCCATTGTTAAAAAAAAATTTGAATCGGTCGGTATTACAGAACGTACTTTTAATTAATTGTGTAACGATTGCACTATATTGTTTCTAATATCATTTTATATAATTTTCTATGTCATATTAATGCACAACAAATATTATACCTTGTATATATACACACACGTTTATTTTTATTAAATTTTATAGGCAGATATTAAATATTTTGATTTCTTTTTTATAAACATCCTTTTTATAAATATCCGTTTGGTTATATAGTAAAAAAAAGAAAAATTGTATTTCTTCTTTTACTATAAAACTTCTTATTGTAAGTTACTATTTGTGTTTATTGTCTTGACGAATAATAATAATAATAAAAAAAAAAAAAAAAATAAAAAAAATAAAAAAATAAACAAAAAAAAATTAGTCACTAAGGTAGTAAGTTGCATTGTAACAAATAGAAAAAGAAGAAAAAGAAAATTATTACGTACTTATCATGTAATTTTTCATAAAATAATTAAAGTTCAATATATAGTAATATTTGAAATCATTGTTTACATTTATAAATGTCCCTCAAGAATAAAACAAATAACAATTATTTTACGAAAAAAGATATCGAGCGTTATTTTTTTTTTTTTTCTTTTTCTTTTTTTCATATCTTAAGAGAATTATGATAAATTTATCATTAAAAATTGTCACGTAAGCGAAATAAGAATAGTATCGTTATTATTTTTCATGATTTTTATTAATTTTTTTTTCTTTTTTTTTTTTTTTTTTTTTTTTTTTAATCTCTTTTTATTATTTGAAATTTGTGTAGATGGCGCTTCACGAAGAAGAATGTAAATTTCAATTTTACTGGTCCAAATTTGGTGTAAATGTTAGGTTGCATATAATTTACCATTCGTTGATTGGTGTACATTTTTGAGCCGCATGCGCTCTCTGTGAAAGTGGACATATTTTGACAGTTTCAAAATGGTTTAATGTAAGAACGTGTGTATAAATTATTTTTATAATTATGGAAAAATACGAAGTTTTAGGACAAGTTGGTGAAGGTTCTTTTGGACAGGTGTATAAAGCAAAAAAACGTTCGGACGGTGAAATTGTGGCCTTCAAAGTTATTAGGAAAGTAAGTGAAGGATTTCTATGATCATTGGTAGTTTATAAATAACATTTATCCTTTATTTAATTACTGTGCGAATATTTTTTTCTTTTTTTTTTTTTTCCCTTCTTTGTTTTCTACAGCGTGGTAGATCATTCAAAGAACTTAAAAGTTTACGTCAAGAATGTGAGATTCAACGTCATTTGCATCATCCTAATATTGTTCAAATGTTAGATTCTTTTGAAACTGAAAATGAGGTACGTTCGAGTATATCAATGGAAAAATATTTTCATTTAATCCTTTAATTTATAATAAATATTTATTATAGATTGTTGTTGTAACGGAATATGCTGATAAAGAATTATATGAAATTTTGGGTAAAGCTGGCCATCTTTCAGAAGAAAGAGCACAAGTTATAGCTTGTGATTTGGTTTCTGCACTTTATTATCTCCATTCGAACAGAGTATTACATAGGTTTGTGTTTTTATTATTTTATTATTTTATCAGTAAAAATTTGATTTCTTTTTCTCATTGGTACAGGGACCTTAAACCACAAAATGTACTTTTAGAGGCAAATGGAGTAGCCAAATTATGCGATTTTGGTTTTGCACGTAGTATGAGCACTGGAACACATGTACTTACTTCTATTAAAGGTACTCCTTTATATATGGCTCCAGAGCTCATACAAGAACGTCCTTATGATCACAATGTAGATTTATGGTATGTAATTTTACAATAATCTCTTAGTTCTTTTCTAATTCTATTAGATATAGACATGACATATGTTACAGGTCATTAGGTTGTATAGTTTATGAATTAGTTGTCGGTTCACCACCATTTCAAACAACTTCTATTTTACATTTGGTTAGATTGATACGTTTTGAAGCGGTTAAGTGGCCAGATTTTATTTCACCAAATTGCAAGAGTTTCTTACAGGTATGCTATTATATTGATTCTCACAATTATAGATATTTATGAATTTTCACATTGACAATGGTTTTTTTGTTAACATTTTCTTTTTTTTTTCTTTCTTTTCTTTGGAAGGGTTTGTTGCAAAAGGATCCTTCTCAACGTTTGACCTGGCCTGCCCTATTAGAACATCCATTCGTTAAGGATAGAATCATCATAGTAGGTGGAACAGTACCTACACCCTTTACAACACCATTATCAGCTAGTCAAGCTAGAGCTAAACAACAACAATTGCAAAACTTATCAATGAGATCTACCAATCAATCAAAGTAATATATCGGGTACAATAATGATATTTATTTATTTGTGCAATAGTAATTAGAATTATTTAAATATTGTCGAATTTAAATTCTTTTAGAGTTCTCGAGAAAGCTGTTGAGAAAGTACAATGTCAAGAGAGAAAACTTCGAGAACAAAGACAAAGGACATGTATTTCACAACCACGTTATCCAATGTTTCATGCCTATTGTCAGCATGGCCTGAATCATTGTCAGATACTTCGACGTAGCGAACCAAGTGGTACAGATTCGAGCGCTAGTATCGATGTACTATTGGGAAATCTTAGTTTGCGAGCATCGTTAAGAAGCGATCTACTTGCTGCTGATCATGCATTGTGTCAAAGCGATTGTCCTAATACAAATAACGAACAAACATTTCCAATAATAAATAATAATTCTAAATTGATCTATACGAAAACAAATGATGAAGGACAAAAGAAAACAAACGAATCCGAAGGTTTTATTAATAAAAATGCTAAAGGTGATGGATTAAATGTTGCACAACAAACGGAAAGATCATCTGAAATGGAACAAATTTCGGGCAATGGCGATTGCAAACAAACCTGTTTGAGTAAAGATTATGAATTAGAATTTGGAAAGGAAAATCTAATAGATAAACACGTTAGATTGCCAGATTGGAATCCAAGAGCCGTTGAAAGGCCAATAGAAAATGAAGAATGGGTCGCGTTTTTACAAAGATCTATGGAGGAAGTAATGGAGGGTGAAGTTGTTTCTTTATTGCAACAAAATTGTGTTTCCGTTTTCGTATCGCCATTAAGAAATCAAGGAGCTGGTTGTCGTGTCGTCGAATACGTTGCTTGTCTATTATCTTTACCATTTGTTATATCAGTCTCGCGTGAAAATCTTGAAAGCATTGAACGTGTTTATTTGGACGTTCGAGTGGTACCAAATCTCGTATATGCAATAAAATTACTTATGTCAGAACGATCTGAAGGAGAGACCATTGCAACAGGTTCTGCTGGTATCACTAGATCAGCATCTACGTTATCAGCGGATGAATTACAAGCTTTGGAATGTACGATGCTTTTACTCTGTAGATTGGTTTACGTTCAAGAACAATTTTTAACTCAATTTTGTGATGCCGTTTATATTGTCAATGGAATGCCATTGTTACAACAATTATTAACTTTGGAAAAAAGAAAGGCACGAGTTGTGGCGGATTTAATAGCCATATTGAACAATATTTTACGTTCTCAACCTGAGAATGCCGAGCTAGTAGAAAAAGTTGTTCTCCATTCGAAAACTCATGGTATGTATATAGATTTGATAAGCTTTATTTATTTATTTTTTTCTTTTCTCCTTTATTTTTAAATTTTGTGATACACGTTATATATATTATTTTTACTTTCCTTTGTTCCAGTAGGTACAGTTGAACAATTTGGTAAACTTCTTGGACATCGGCAAGGTGTATTGAGAGCTAGAACGTGCATACTGATTAGACTTTTAGGAAGATTTTGTTGCAGAGCATTGCAACAAGTTTGGGGGAGATCTTTGAGAAATCTTATTGAAAATTTATTGCTCGACGAGGAAGAAAACGTTAGAAACGTAAGTAAATTGATATCCGTTTCTTTTTTTTTTTCTCTTTTTTTTTTCTTTTTTTTTTTTTACGAGAATATAACATATATGTAAGTGATTTATATTCGTTTTAGTCTGCCGAAGACGCGGTCGGAGAACTTAAACAATTAACGTACTATAATCAATTGAGTCCGGCTGGTTGATGAACAGGGATTAATTTAAGGGAATTAATCGTTATAAAATGGGGCCAAACGTATCAAAAAGTTTAAAATCAATTATAAGTTATAAAGAGATTTTATAATGATCATCAAAAGAAAATATATAAAATATTTTCATGTAAAGTTACGTTATGTAATTTCGATAAATTTATATAATACTTAAACTAATACTTCTAGTCCTCAATGAAATTCACTATTTCTACGTGATAGGGAATTTTTTATAAGATCGGATTTTTTTTTTTTTTTTTTTTTATTTATATATAAGATTTATATATCCTACGTTGATTTAATTAAACTGTATTTTCTTTCTTTCTATTTTTTCTTTTTTTTTTCTTTTTTTTTTTTTTTTTTTTCTTTTTCCTTTTCTTTCTACATCGAGTCCATTACCAACAAATAGCTCATATTTTATTTAGAAACTGTTAAGATTAAATATATTTCTTTTAATCCAATGTCCAAATAAAAGAAAGATCTTCCTCTGATTCGCTAGTAATATTTTCCTCTGTCTCACGGTTGTCACATTCGTCTCTGTACATAGCCTGTAATTTCGACACGTCGATTTTACTGAGCCCGTTACGCTGTCCGATTTTTGCATCTTCGACCTGTTAACGAACGAAGTTAATAAATCATCGATCGATTAATCATTGATCTAACCGATCCTTAAGTCGATGAAAAATCTTTTCAGTTTCTTTTTTATAATACCTTAGGTGTAATAGTTTCTCGGCCGTTCGCGGAGAAGGCATGCGCACTATAATGCATCACGCTGGAATAATCATAAGGGTAACCAAAGTCCGTGACGGTATCTTGATCGTACTTCTTGAAATTGTGTTCTTTTCCTGTATAAAAAAAAAAAAAAAAATGAAAAAAAAAAAAAAATAATTACCACATCACGAGGACGACAAAAATTTGATAGAAAGGAAGAGAAAATCGCATAACGTTATCGCGCAAAAGTAAAAGTAAAAATAAAAATAAAATAAAAAAAAAAAAAAGAAAAGAAAAGAAGAAGAAGAATAAAGAAAAAGAAAAAAAAATAACATAGCGCCATTGTTCGAAATAGAAAACGTACCCGGTTTTATGTTGTCCCAGTGTATTACGACCCATTCGTCACGGTTAGCGGCACTCTGTTGGTGATAAAATCCCAGAGCATGCATCAGCTCGTGAACGACGACACCGTGCCGTACGCATCCGCCAACTTGCAAGTTTAATACCTGTCCCTTTCCATGACGGCCTACCATGGACCAACATCCGGATCTATTACCCTGTATTCGTACGTAATCGGTATCGGATTCTTTGTACGGACGGAAACGTAAGCAGGTCTTGTTATGATACTCCTTTATGCCACTTTTTATCACCTTGATATCCGAACGATCTGATAAAATAAAGGGATTGTCGTGGAATATTGTAACAAAATGAAATATTCATTATCGAATAATATAACGATTTGTTTGTTCGTTCGTTCGTTCGTTTGTTCGTTCGTTCGTTTGTTTGTTTGTTTTTTTTCTTTTTCTTTCAATTTTTCTTACCGAAATCTTCCTCCTCGATATAATATGGGACTATGCCGTTGGGCCAACGTGTTGCAGTATCCAAAATACCATTTCTACCGCTTATTTTATTATTTGGAGAAAGCATTATGTCACCCTGGTAAAGACCACTCAGTTCCCAAATATTTTCCGGATCTTCCGGTTTCCATGAATTGATTCGTCTTGCTGCAAAAAAGAAGAAAACAAAAAAAAAAATAGGAAAACTATCATTCACGTTCCAATTCGCAAAGAAAAATGTAAATGGGTTTTTGTTTTTTTTTTTTTTTTTTTTTTTTCAATTTTTCCTTACCGATTTCTTCGTGATTGTATCCAACCTCGAAGTTTCCTTGATTCCTCGGTTCCGGTGGTATTGGATGTCCGTGAGATCCTCGATGACTTTTCGATGGAAGTCCGATGACCGTAGCAACGATCATCGAAAATATTAATACCTCTCGTATAGAAGTCATCGCTATGCCGATCCTCGGTAAACTGACGATGATTATTTTTGAAAACAACCCTTTTATATACAACGAGAATGATTCTTATTTTAATGTTCCAGTACTGCGGAAGGATTTCCGGATAAATGATATGTAAAACACTAGTTCTATCTTTCAAAGCTTCGTACGTCTGAATAACAATGCTTTTGAATAATACGCTTATGGAGTAACTGAAAAGATAATCGGTCGGTATGTATGTTATAGTAGATCGGTTGTTATGTAATAGATTTTATCATTTCGAATATACGAGATTATACGTATACATATATATATATATATATAATCGTGTGCGTGTGTGTATGTTTATGTATGTATATTTATTAATTTTATTTCTTTTTTTTTTTTTTTTTTTTTTTTTTTTTTTTTTTTTTTTTCAAATAACGAATTGTAATCGATGTCTATTAATTTAATTTTATCGCGTTTAGATGTAATCAGAATTTTATCGAAAGAAATAAAATCAACTAGGTCTCCTCGTTTCGTTGATTTTTCTAAGTAATTAACCAAACATAAAAGTATATTTATGTATAGATACATATATATATATATATATATATATATATATATATATATGTATATAAATATGTTATCTATACATGTATATGTACATTGTAAAAGAACACATTGTACGCGTTTCTATGGTTGAAAACGTGAAAACGCGTGAAAGGGCACCGTGGGTCCGTTCGTTTGACTCGCATACGAACGAACGGCCAACTTCGACATAGTTTATTTGGGTCGAAAATTATACGATAAGGGGGAATGCGAGCTGAATTTAAATTCCGCGCTTTATCGTCTTCCTCGAGGCCCCGAGACCTCGACTTATCGAGTACCTACGAGCTGCCTTTAAAAATATCCTTTCCAACGAACGAACTTACGAGCGAATTTAATGTTTTCAATGTAGAATAGGATGCACTTTCGACCGACGGAACAGAGAGAATATATTGAAGAGAAAGAGAAAGAGAGAGAGAGAGAGAGAAAGAGAGTAGATATTTTTTTAATGACATCAAACCTTTTCGTAAAGCAAAAAAAAAAAAGAAAAAAAAAAAAAAGAAAAAAAAAGAAAAAAAGAAAAAAAAAAATAAGATACGATATCTCTCGACGTGTCAGATACGATGTCAGAATCGATCATTCCTGTCCTATGATCTCTTCGAATTGGTGCTAGTCATTGAATTTAAAATAGAAACAGATAAAGTATAATTGAATAAATCTTTTTGGTTTTATCGATAAAAAAAAAAAAAAAAAAAAAAATGTGCTTCGTGTTAGATATATTCTCTCTTTCTTTTCTAAACGATCGATCGATCGATCGAACGAACGAACGAACGAACGAACGAACGAACGAACGAACGAACGAACGAACGAACGTTTAATCAGTGTGGATAAAAAAAAGAAAAAGGAGAAAAAGGCCACCACCGTAGCCACACATTGTGTGTAGGTAGAACCTGGTTGTAAGAAGGAGGAGGCGCCCGATCGAATCTCCGGCATCCCGAGTGCTCGAGGCGAACACTCGGATGTGGGTCAGAATGATTCGGTAGCCGGCCGCGTAATTCAGTACATCGGTATATTATCTTCTTCATCGTTTCGTGCGCCTTTCCCTCTGGGCCTCCGAGAGCGGGCCTCCGAGAGCGGGGCCTCTTCCTCCTCCTCCTCCTCCTCCTCCTCCTCCTCCTCCTCCTCCTCCTCCTCTTTCCTCCCTCCCTTCTTTCTTCCTCGGCGATCCGTGGTTGTACCCCCGCGTAGTTCTCCTTCATGTGACTCTTTGCCACGTCCCGAGCGAAGCCACGTCCCGGGGCCCACGTTCGAGAGGAAGGCGAGAGAAAAAGGCGTGCAATTATAATCGCGTGAAATTAACGGTAGCGATTACGTGCCTCCTCTACCAAAGTTCTTGCCGACCCACAAAATATCAGAGACCGTAATCATTACTCTCATGGAGAATAATCGACTTCCGCTTCGCGAGAGATATCAATACCTATTATTAATCCCATAGTGTTTCTATGATCTACAATCAAACGTATATTTTCGATATTCTAAGATCGAAATTATTATATATATATATATATGTTAAGTTATGTTATAGGCTAGACATACGTACACATACACACATACACATACATACATGTATATATATATATATATATATATATATATATATCCCATTTATTTACATATACGTATCTATCAAAATGATAACTCTCGTGACGCGGTATTTAAATATCGATTATCTTAAAATCCATTCTCGCTCGATATTTTGATTAAAGAAATTTCGGAACAAACGTAATGATAGAACGTCTCCTGTACGAGGCGTTCTATGAACGAATGGGTGGTTAGTTCTTTTTTCCTTCTTCTGCTTCTTTTTTCTTTTTTTTTCTTTTTTTTTTTTTAGCAGAAAAGGAAAGGAAAAGAAATAGGAAAAAAAGAAAAAAAAGACCAGATATAGTTGGCTCGCGTATATAGTCGCGAGCCGAAAATCTTCGAAGGCAGAAAATTGAAGGCAAGGCCAACGACCGAGGCGTTCCAGATTCGGGTAGGAACGCGCTCCTCGTAGCCTAAATTCTAACCGGACTTCTTGGAACCTCTACCGAACAAGAATGACTCTTTCACGTTCGCTACGGGGAGTTTGACTTTTACGAGTATCTAACGAAGAAAACGCCTTTACTTCTTTCTCTCTCTCTTTTTCTCTCTCTCTCTCTCTCTCTCTCTCCCTCTTTCTCCCTCTCTTTCCCTTTCTTTTTTCTATCCCTTCTTCTTTTACTCTTCTCTCTTCGCCCTTCTTTCACCAATCCGATCGATCCACCTGCGAAAGTCTCTTCCCCATCCTACTCTAATTTTGATCATCTTCCGATGATAAAATAACAAGTCTTTACCAATGATACTTCTCGAATTGGTGAAGTCAAACCTGGCCTGTCAAGATCAACGCTTTACGATGGCAACGTGAATTCTTGGACTCGCGACAGCTCGGCGCCAAAAGATCGCTATAATTTGCGGTGAAATTGCGATTGGATCGGTCGTAAATTTCATTGGATGCACGCAACGAGAGAAGGGTGGGAGGGGTGGTGCGAGGGGAGAAAAGGAGAAAAAGAGTAAGAAGGAAAAAGGAGGTGGTGGAGGAGGAGGAGGAGGAGGATGGGGGGAGGGGAAGGGATCAGAATGAGGCGCGTTTTAAACAAGCGTATTGACACGCGTATCCGCAAGAAGGATTTTCTTTTTTTTTTTTCTTTATTTTTCT